CGTTTGATTAATGAGAGCATGTGATATTCTGTTCCTGAGACGTCACATGATGATGATGATGATGATGAAGTGCTTCAGCAGACGCAGATGCTCTGACCTCATTTAAAAGCAAATTAATCTTTCTGCGAAAAACTATAATAACCCTGAAGTCAGACGTCACCAGAAGAGAAACACTCCAGCATATTTTTTATGCAAATAATGTACTTTAAACGAATATAATCTTTGACTCTTTCTCAATTTTCCCAGTTTTTTCAGTATGTAAATGTATTTTCTTCATCAGTCATCACTAGTGCTAGTGCTCATGTTAATGTGATGAAGTATTCCACTTTTCCACAATTATGATCTATTGTGAACAGTATTTGAGACAATAGTTGACTGGGAATAGAGGAAGCGGTTTGCAGGATGTGATGTAATGGATCTGGATCTGAGGCGCTGTCAACATCCTTTACGTGTTTCCTTCATAACGCGTGTGTAATCTGAGCCTCGGGAGAAGGTTATTCCTGCAGTGAATCCTCACGCTACACACACACACCAAAGGAAGAAATGAAGACACAGATTCAGTGTGTATCTTACGTGATCTGCAGTGTATCGATCCTGTGTCCGTCAGGGTTTAACTCTCACTGCGCCGCAATCGTTCATGCTCACGTCGATTAATGAACAAACTGTGCAAGGGATTTTTTAATAGAATGACTAATCTCAATAAATCGCATTTAATAATATATGTGTGTGAACTGTGTACACATAAATACACACATATGCATGTATTTAAGAAATCACATTTATACATATCATATTGAAGAAGTATTTGCATATGTATATATATTTATTTAAATATTATATTTAAATAACATTTATTTCTTAAATATATGCATGCATGGGTGTGTATTTATATATACAAAATAAATATACACAGTACATAAACATGTTAACAAACTTTTATTTTGGATGCAATTAATTGTTGCACGGCCCTCAGAGGTTTCTCTTCTGGCTAAATGAAAGGTTAAATCGATAAAAACTTGGTAAATGAGTGCACTGTGATGTTTAACGTGTATTTGAAGCTGTAAGTGTGTGTTTCAGTGTCATTAGCTGTGAAGAAGGCAAAGCTTTGGCAGAATCGTGGAACGCAGCGTTCATGGAGTCCTCAGCCAAAGAGAATCAGGTAATGATGCGTTTCCTGAGGAAGTGCTGTATCTGCATTGATCTCCACTCTCTCTAATGGTCAATCAAGTTTTATCCTGCAGTCCGTCTGACTCTGCATCACTCAATCACTCTCGGATCCACTCTCCTCCTCTGCCGCATCATCAGTCTCTCTTATCCAATCTCTAGCCGTCTGGCAGATCTCAAGATGCTCTTCTCGTAGTTTTGTACCTGAAAACACACAAAAAAATATTTAGACCTATATTATATATATTTAAATTAATTTGCATTTCGAACAAACTAATAAACTTATTGCAATGCATATTTGTCATTCATACATCAATGAAACGTGTCATATTTCTGCAATAGTACTAACAACAAACGTAATGTGTTTTAAATACACAATTACCAGGTTAATATATTATCATCAATAAATCCAATTTGTTTCAATTTCATACATTTGAACTGAATATTGCGTGGGAACATTTTTTAATAAATGCATTTCGAAATGTAATTATTTAAAGATGCAAATAGGTAATAATAAATTATGCCATGATTTTTCATTTATGAATGACAGACATATGAATCACAACATTATGAGTTTCAGTTAAATGATCAGAGATTATGTCATTGATTGCTGCTGTTTTATTTGTATTTAATTGCTACATTTATATTTGAAGAGTTCAGATGCAAAAGCCTCTAAATGCCATTTGAAATTTTCTTCTTTAATGATGATTTTTATCAAACTTGTATATTTAAGTTCAGTAATTTCACTTAAATGGCAATGATAATTACCTATTAATTGTTATTTAAGTGAAATTACTGAACCTAAATATACAAGTTTGATAAAAATCATCATTAAAGAAGAAAATTTCAAATGGCATTTAGAGGCTTTTGCATCTGAACTCTTCATTTGCTTTTATGTAATTATTTTATGTAAAAATTTGTTGGCGTTTTATAAATTTGAAATTAATTTGAGAGGTGATGATGAAGATGTTGTGTGTGTGTGTGTGTGTGTGTTTGCAGACTGCGGTGGAGGTGTTTAAGAGGATAATTCTGGAAGCAGAGAAGATGGATGGTGGCGCTCCACAGGGTCGGACGCCCTGCTCGATGATGTAGATAACCCCGCCCTCTTCCCCACAATGGCCCCTCCCCTCCCACGTTGGCCCCGCCCCCTCTCCCGCAGTCTGCCCCACCCACCGGAGAACAAGCACAAACTTTTCTAGCAAAGCATGTTTGTTTCAGGCTGGTGTTTGGGCTGTACTGAGCAGCTGCTTCTGTGTTTTGCTCTAGTTTACGGTTAAGACGCGGTTAGCTGTAGGATTAACTGATTTGAACAGGGTTAAAGACTCGTAATATGAAACGTTTGCTAGAAAAGTCTGTTTCTAGAGTCCTCCTGCCCTGGCCCGCACCACAGCACTGGACACTGGGATATCCCTCTACTTGAAGTGGCTAACTGCCTGTTTTCCTGCATTGACATTTTCTTTTAAACCTTTTTTTAACTTCATTTAATTTTATTTTTTTAAGTTGTGAAATTTTTTCTTTTTATTTATTCTGAATTTTTCTGTGACATACAAGAATAACACTCACACACACACTCTCTGCTTCATGTCCATATTGCATCTTCAGCCTTATGTTTTCATTCAGCTCTTCTCTACCTCTCATGTTCCTCTCTGTCCCAAACCCTTTGGAATTTGTATATCGTGTTTCTTAAACGGTAATTATGGCCAATAAAGTTGGCAGCATTCATTCAGTAGTGAATGTTGTTGGACTTTTTTTGATTGTAATCATTAAACGCAGCATTTTGTTTCACTATCACTGGACTTGCTTGCTGTGATTTACACAATAACACAATTAATCACACAAATGAGAATGCAGTTTCAAATTAGTATTTATTTTCTTAATCATTAATACAAAGACTTTTCAGATGCCAGAAATTGTTGAAATTACGAACATATATTTGAAATTTTTACAGTTTAAATGAAATATATCAGTAATGAAAATTTGGTGAGGTAAAATGTTTGTAAAGTGGAAAATGTCACGATGCAAAAAAAAAAAAAAGACAAATGTTTGTAGAACTGGTTAAATTAAGGTGCAAATTCAGTTTATTCAGTAAATCGGAGTAATGGGGAAATAAACCAGGTCTAATGAAGTTTAAAGATTCTTATAAATTTTCGATTTTAGTGTTTATGTTAATCGCTGACCATCTCAGAATCTGACTTCCGGTTGTCTACGGAAGCCTGTACACTATTTTTTTAAGTGAAGGATTCGGGGTGTTTTTGCCGGGAAAATGCCGCAAAAACGTTTACGCGCGGCTAAACACGATTACATGAATGTTCAGGATAATACCGAAAGAGACGTTCTGTATATGCTTATATATAATTTAAGTAAACTGTCATGGTGTGATTTTACCTCATCTGACATGATGCTGGTGAATTGCAGAGGTGATGCAAACAAAAACTCATCTAAACATCACTCAACAGCATGGACGGATCGCAAAGGTAGGCCTATTTCTAGCTTCATTTAAGGGAGAAGTTATTTAACGAAGAAAAGATCTTTGCCGTGAGTATCGTACCATTACCGCAGCTTTGAATCATGTTAGTGCAATACTCTTTTAAATGGGTGAAGAAGCACAACATTAAAAGTAATGATTCCGAAAATTCGAAGGGATATTAGAAGCAATTAATAAGGAATCAGGTTTTGTATATTATTCTGAAAATGTTCAGTAACGGTATTTTGTAGGCTAAATCCCTTGAATTAGCAAGCCACTTCCTGAATCCTCCAGGAAGTGACGTCACTTTGAAGGGAAAACGGCTGAATTATGCATGGATTTGATTAATTCTGGGATCTTTTGTGTCTCTCCAAATAGCCTACATCCATCCTGTTCAATTAAAACGACTCAAGTCAGTTTGATAATATCAACATTACAAAAGATAAAATGTGAAATGCTATGAAAATTATCTTCCAAGTTGATGTCCTCATGCAATCACTTCAAGCTCTTTATCAACATGCTCGTTTTAATGTCATTAATCAATAGTAATCAGTATTAAATAATCAATTTATAAGTTAATATAACTGAGATTGAAACCAGATAATTTGATATACTTACATAAAGCATATTTATTTATGTTTACAGTAAGCAGCAGATTCTGAAGGAATGATCCACTTATTGTATTTCCGGTGGCACTTTAGTCAGTTTCAATCCATTGATTCATGTATAACAAGATGAATGTGATTCAGAACAAGACTAATATTGTGATAGCAATAAAGACCGGACACGATGATCTGATTAAAAACGAATTACACATGCAGTAATGAATCAGAAACGACAGCAGGGCTGTTTCATTAAAACCCCACTGAGCCGTGAATCAATCACACAGTGACACACAGTTTGTGGGGTTTACTAACTTATTTACTCAAAGAACAATCACTGACAGCTTGATCATCTCTTTAATGTGTCTCGGGATTCATTAAGTCAAACTAAATCTGTTCTGACTGATGAATGATTCATGTTTTGATTGGATTATGTGAGTCTATGATGCTTGTTTGTTTTCATGTAAAACTCTCCAGATATTCAGAAGCTCTCGCCTCAAACCCTCAGATATGAGCAGGAGCTGAAGATTAATTTCATGTCAGAATGCATATCCACTGGGACACGAGAGCAGTTCGACTGAACACAAGCATTACTTTTGTAAAAATGGCCCCACAAAGTCGAGCGAAGCAAAATCCATTGTGGCGTGGACTGAAGGCCTGGAGTCAAAGCCCAGAATCAGCAGAGCGACGGGAAAGCGTCCCATCAGCAGAAGCTAAAGCCCTCCATTGTGGGACCTTTGTGGAGCGGGTCTCGCGATATCGGCCCGCACGCGACCGGCTGTATATATTGGGCTGTCCAACTTTTCCAGTGTCACACTTTCTCACGTGTGGGTCAGCTTGGACAGTATCCAGTGGAAAATGTCGCAGTATTCTGGAAAGGTAAGGATCTGATTGGTCAAGAGAACCGCCATGTTTCTCACAGAAGCTGAAAACATATTCAGCACGCATGAATCTTCATCAAATCCCTTTCCTTGTGAACTTTTCTGCATTTACTTTGTTAATATTTAGGCTGATGTTTGTCCTCATTTTAGGCCCCGTTAGGCTCTTTGATTTTTGCTATTTAATATATTGAAATAGATTTCAGTTTTTGTCATTTTTGTTTTCATTTTATTTTTAGTTAAAGGTTTAGTAATGTGTGTTTTTTGTAAAAAAAAAAAAAAAAAGTTTTTGTTAGTATTTTAAAGTAGACTAAATTTTTATATTTTTAATTTGTAATTTTTGTTTTCATTTTATTTTTAGTTAAAGGTTTAGTAATGTGTGTTTTTTGTAAAAAAAATAGTTTTTGTTAATATTTTAAAGTAGACTAAATTTTTATATTTTTTAATTTGTAATTTTTGTTTTCATTTTATTTTTAGTTAAAGGTATAGTAATGTGTGTTTTTTGTAAAAAAAAAATAGTTTTTGTTAATATTTTAAAGTAGACTAAATTTTTATATTTTTAATTTTATTAAAAATGTTATATTTTTAAATAGTTAATTCTAATTTTAGTTAATTTTTTGAAAAATGTATAATTTTTATGAAAAAACTTTTTAATGTCTAAGTTTTTTTTGTTTATTTAGTTATTTTAGTACTTCAACTTAAATGAAAACGTGAAACGTAGCGGCTAGTGAATAAAATAAGTGTTTTTTTTTTTTATTTGTTAATTAAGTAATAAAAATGTTCTTTTGTTGTTTTAGTTTTTAACTATGAGAGAATTTCTGGCATTATTTTTCCCATTATTAGAATTATTTTATATTTAGCTTGACATCAGTTCCTCATAGATAGCCTTCAGTTTTGGCTAGCGTGACCCTAGTGTGAAACACGTCGGGGTCGTGATGATGATGTCGATGTGAATCCCACACTCCTCTGCATGTCCCTCTGGTCCTCAGATCGTGTTTTACGAGGGCCGCTGCTTCACCGGCAGGAGGCTGGAGGTGTACGGCGACTGCGATAACTTCCAGGACCGTGGTTTCATGAACAGGGTGAACTCCATCCGTGTGGAGAGCGGCGCCTGGATCTGCTTCGATCATCCCGACTTCAAGGGCCAGCAGTATATCCTGGAGCGCGGAGAGTATCCCGAGTTCCAGCGCTGGAACTCCCACAACGACCACATGGGCTCCTGCAAACCCATCAGGATGGTGAGGCTCACAGAAGAACCGCTTCTGGTTCCCTAGAGAACCTTTCAGAGATCAGTTCTTCAGAAAGTCACATTTTAATAATCTACAGAACTTAATATGCAATGGTTAAAGGTTATTGAACCATCAATCCAATTAATGAACTCACTTAGTTGTCGAGAGCATTGCATTATGGGATGCAGAATCTCTATATGCTCCGTTGTCATTCCATGCATTTAGAAAATGTGCGCCCTCAACATCAATCTACACCCTAAATATAACACTAGCAAGGGCTTTTGTGCTTTAAACACAATGTTTTACATGCTTGATAACATGCAACACATTTATGAAGCCGTGCATGAGAACATACCTCTGATATATTGACAACATTACAGTATGATTTAAAAAAAAGCAGTGCATTAAAAAGACACATGATAAACATCGTCACATGACCTCATTACATTTGTCACTATGGAAAGTGAAGTCAAGAGCATTGCATTATGGGATGCAACATCTGACACAATATACGATGTTGTTTATTGCATATTTTAGCAAATGTAGAATGTTATTCCATGCACACAGGAAATGCACATACATAATATACATGTTTCATACTGCAGAAATAGTAAGTTTCATGCAATTGCAGATATAAAATATAATTTACTACTGCAGATATAAATATATAATTTACTATATAATTTACTTGACTTAATTTATTATAATTTAGAGTTGTAATTTTGCTATATACTGCATATTTTATAAAATGCACAGTGTTATTCCATGCATACAGGAAATGTGCATAGTATGCATGTGCATTTTGTTGTGTGCTGCATATTTTAGTGAATGTAGAATTGTTGAATTTGCATTGAGTGCACGATATGCATGCTTCATACTGCAGAAATAGTACGAGTTGCATGCAATGCCAGCTCTTAAATGTAATGAGAAGTGAAGTGGAGTCCTGAAGTGTGCTTGTGCTTGTGTCTCAGCACGGAGAGCACTACAGGATGGAGATGTTCGAGGGCTGTAACTACACCGGTCAGTGTATGGAGTTCTGTGACGACTGTCCCTTCCTCCAGAGCCGCGGATTCAACACGAACTGCGTCAACTCTATCAGAGTGTTCGGCGACGGAGCGTGAGTTCAGCTGCTTTTACACTCCATACACACCTGTCACCGCATTGACTATCTCATTATAGAATTAGTGCTACGTTTGCATTGCATCTACATGTTGAAAAGCTGTAATGCATGCAATATTTGAAGAGTTCAGATGCAAAAGCCTCTAAATGCCATTTGAAATTTTCTTTAATGATGATTTTTCCAAAACTTGTATATTTAAGTTCAGTAATTTCACTTAAATAACAACATTGCCATTTAAGTGAAATCACTGAACTTAAATATACAAGTTTGATAAAAATCATCATTAAAGAAGAAGATTTCAAATGGCACTTAGAGGCTTTTGCATCTGAACTCTTCATTTATTCGTTTATTCTTGCTTTATTTCAATGACCCGAAGTTATGATTTAGCTTCATCATCAGTGATGTCACAGCTGTTCCTCTTCTTCTTCTCTTTAGCTGGGTGATGTATGAAGAGCCAAACTTCCGTGGTCGCATGTATATTGTGGAAAGAGGAAACTACTGCAGCCATAACGAGTGGCAGGCGCAGAACCCCAACATCCAGTCCATCCGCAGGATCGTCAACTACTTCTAAACCCTCCACGCGCTGCTCTCCTCATCCTGTCTTCCCTTCCTTTCTCTGAACATGTACAATAAACACTGAGAACCAAAACCAACACGGGATTTTATCACACGACATCTCTGTGTCTGTCACTCACTCCAACATCTCTCGACTCCAACGTTCATCAATGGCGAGATTTTAGGAGACCATTCAAAGTTTTTTTTTTTTAATACTTTTATTATGCGAGGACACATTAAATTGATAAAAATTATAGTAAAGGCATTTATTATGGGATTTCTACTTTAAATAAATGCTTGAACTTTCTATTCATTAAAAATCCAATTTATCACAGTTAAACACACTGATAATAATCATAAATGTTTGTTGAGCATCAGATCATCATATTAGAGTGATTTCTTAAGGATCATGTGACACTGAAGACTCAGCTTTGATCACAGGAATAAATTAGTTTAATATATATTCACATAGAAAATTGCTATTTTAAAGTGTTTAATTTTATATATTTTTAAACAAATAAATGAGCAGAAGAGACGTCTTTTTAAAATGTTTAAAAAATATCTTAATTTATATCTTCACTGGTTGATTTTAAATGGTCTTCCAGTGTGAAAAATACATTTGTAAAAGTACAAATATTTTATTTTTTTCTTAATTAAAGCTCATAAAAAATGTTATATAAATGAAACCACAAATAATGTGTCCTAGCGCCACAGTATTATAAGGTGATCAGCACTGTGTGACTTATAAGGGACTAGATATGGTTATAAAAACAAAAGGTTAACATTTTTAATTTAATTCCAATAATGTTAAAATGTATTGTACACATATTTGAAATCAATAACGCTGCATTCAGCTTCCTAATATGATGAAAATTGCAGAATAAAAAATGAGATAGACACCATAGACACTGTAAACGTTCACATTGAGTGAATCTTTATTGCCATCTTCTTAAGATGAACCGTATGAACCTGAACAGAAGAATCAGAACTGAAAGCACTTACATTCAACAAGATCGTGATCATAGTGTGTAAAATCACAGAAGTTCCTCTGATCTTTAAATAAAGCTTTCTTTCTTTTTATACATGTCATCAATCCTGTAAAAACTAAAATTCTTTCTCTGAAATCAACATTATTATTTTTATATAAATCTAAGGTCCTTTTAAGATTCAATGTTATTCGAAAACAAAAAAAAGCATCAAACGTTTTGAACTGAAACACACGTGAGAAACATGAACGTCTGCATTGATCTGGAGGAGAAACTAAACATCTGAACTCTCCTCATCAGGACTCTCCTCATCCGCTCATCCGGAGGACGTGGGCTGTTTATCCAGACGGGATCTGATGTTCATCATGAGCTCCTGCTCTTCATCCAGCGTGAGGTCCAGGTAGTCTTCCTCGTGTCGGGGAATGTCCTCCAGAGCCTCGTTCACCAGCTCTTCATCCAGAGGACTAGAGGCTGGAACTGCACACACACACACACACAGAGCTTCTCAACATCTGCATGCATTACTGAACATGACTTCATTTGATTCATATAAAAATAATGGCCTTTTATACACATGCATATTTATAATAATAATAATAAGAAAATTAATTTGTCATGTTATTCATTGTCACTGATACAAATTGCTGTCCTTTATATATCTAAGTGTATATATGTGTGTGTGTGTGTGTGTGTGCATATGAATGTATATGTGTGTTTGTGAATGCAGTTGTATATGCATATTTATTTACTTGGATTAATAATAAAGAATGGCATTTAATATATATGCATATTTACAATATGCATTTTTTTGTATTGATTTTCACTGATGCAAAGCATTGTCATTATTATTTTTATATCTGTTATATCTATTTTATATCATTGTCATTATTATTTTATATCTATTTTTATATTTTATATCTATACTATTTTTATATGGATAATATACATATATATTTTTTTGTATTCAATGTAATTAATACAAAGCATTGTCATTATAATTTTTGTATGTATATACAGTATATACTGTATATATGCACATTTTTATTAGTAATAAATAATGGCATTTTTTATATTTTTATATATGCATAGTGTACATATGCATATTTTTTATACAAAAAAATCTATTATATCATTTTATATATATATATATATATATATATATATAATTTTTATTTTTTTTTGTAGGTGAACACAGGTTGATGTTTCCTGTTTGTTGCCGATCTGCTGTTTTCTCACCGGTGTTGTCTGAGGAGGAGGAGGAGGTGCTGGGTTCCTCTGAGGAAGAGGATGGAGGAGAAGGAGACAGGAGATCAGGAGGAACGACACCCTGATGATCCAGCAGCAACTGTGTGGCCGACTCCAGATCATCTCCCATGAGCCTCAGCGCTGAGTCTGCTGCATCCAGCTGGAAGCCGTACGACACCAGCTGCACACACACACACACACGTCACACTCGCGATCTTACAGCTGAAGTCTGCATGTGAATCACAGGAACACACACCTGATCCAGCTTAGTCTGTCGGTCTGAACTCTGAGTCTGAGTGTGTGTCTGAGCTTCAGCGCCGTCCAGCAGAATCTGCAGAAGAACATCTCAGCGTTAATCATGAGTGTATGTGTGTGTGTGTGTGTGTGTGTGTGTGAGTGTGTGCTCACGTTATAGGCCTTGTCCACGTCTCCTCTGGCCTGATGCAGGGCTCTGGCCGCGTCTCTCTTACTGAAGTTCAGCTCCACCAGTGTGTTGATGTCCTGCAGACGTCGTCTCCTCTTCTCTCGCTCTCTCTCCTTCATCTCCTTCCTCTCCTGATGGACATCAGCACATGTTTAATTCTGAGGTCACATGATTGAACAAGTGCTTTACGTGTGTTCTAGTGCAGAACCTTGTTCCTCTGTGTGATGTGCTGCACGGCCTCGGATAAATCTCCTCGACAGGCTCTCAGACCCAGACGAGCGTCCTGCTCAGAGAAACCCAAAAACATCAGCTGCGAGATCTTCTCCGGGTCCAGACACAACTGACCGAACAGACGCTCAACCTGACCGACACAGACACACAATCAGGAGTCATCCTCGAGAAGAATCAAACGAGTCACGGTCAAGAAGAGTCAAATGAGTCATGGTTAAGATGAGTCAAACGAGTCATGGTCAAGAAGAGTCAAATGAGTCATGGTCAAGAAGAGTCAAATGAATCATGGTCAAAAAGAATAATCAAATGATTCATGGTCTAGAAGAATCAAATGGGTTATATTCTAAGAATCAAACGAGATATACTAGTCTAAGTATACAAATGAGTCATATCATATTCTATAAGAATAAAAGCAACATACTAAGAATCAAAAGTTTCAAATCTCTGAAATGATTCACATGCAGCCCTGCTAGCAGTACAGTTTATTTGAGAGGTAAATACACACAATCAGTTAAAAAGCATTTACCTCTTTGAGCTTGTCCGAGGCTTGGTTCTTGTGTCCGTCGAGGTACGCCAGCACACTCTGAAGAAGATACAACCTCAGAAACAGCACGTCTTCTCCTCCAGTGTGACCCTGAGAGCCAGAAACACACACACACGCATCAGCCTCAGAAACAGCACAAAATTGGAAATTAAAATCAGTTTGGGTTTCCAGAATATTGTGTTTGGGTCCAGAAGAGCCGCCCCAGACCTTGATGAGCTGCAGTCGGCTCCGCTGCTCCCCGTAACACCTCTGGAAACAATCCTCGGCCCGGGAAAGTCTCTGCCGCGCGTCGTTCAGGCAGTCCAGCTGCTCCAGAGCCTGGAAACACCACACCACATCCAGCTGCAGGACGGCGTAGTTATCCACCGTGTTCAGCAGCGCAGAGTTACACTTACTGAACACACACACACACATCAGAGTTACAGTGAATATTGATTTCTGATTACGTGAGGTGTGATGAAGCCGTACTTGAACTGTTCGTCGGCGAGGAGGAGATGACACAGAGCGGCGCTGTGATCCCTCTTCTTCATCAGAGCTCGACCTTTCTCATGGAAACCCATCGCCAGGATCAGCGCCTGCAGAGCGAAGCAAGAGATCGAGCACTCGCTGTGTCTGAACACACACTCATCATCATCATGTGCTAAACAACGACGCTGTCAGACCATCACTGATCACTTTAAAACCAATCTATCCTATACTCATACTTCATCTGTGAGTTTCAGACGGCTGGACGACACATTTATTAGATTCATGTTTAGGACGTGGACTGATGAAACATGACTCACCTTCCTCTCCTCGTTGGGGATCTGGAGTGGATTTCCTTTCTGATCTGCGATCTCTAAGAACGGGGTAGTGGTCGGATCCTCACTGCCATCTGAGGACACAGAAGTGGACATTATCTATTATTGACCAAGAGCATCATATACCAGTCCTTCCAGAAAAACGCAGAGTTTTTTTTTGTGATTGTTGCGGGCAAACATCCTTGATTATGCGGCCCGTTTTCTAAAAAAAAAAAATCAATGGAATATGTAGGATATTTATGCAATTTTATTGCGATGAAATGGCAACAGGTTACATCACTTCATAACGTTCCCATGGCAACAGGTTACGTCACTTCATAACGTTCCTGTGGCAACAGGTTACGTCAATTCATAACGTTCCCATGGCAACAGGTTACGTCACTTCATAACGTTCCCATGGCAACAGGTTACGTCACTTCATAATGTTCCCATGGCAACACGTCACTTCATAACGTTCCCATGGCAACAGGTTACGTCACTTCATAACGTTCCCATGGCATCAGGTTTCGTCACTTCATAACGTTCCCATGGCAACATGTCACTTCATAACGTTCCCATGGCAACAGGTTACGTCACTTCATAAGGTTCCCATGGCAACAGGTTACGTCACTTCATAACGTTCCCATGGCAACAGGTTACGTCACTTCATAACGTTCCCATGGCAACAGGTTTCGTCACTTCATAACGTTCCCATGGCAACATGTCACTTCATAACGTTCCCATGGCAACAGGTTACGTCACTTCATAAGGTTCCCATGGCAACAGGTTACGTCACTTCATAACGTTCCCATGGCAACAGGTTACGTCACTTCATAACGTTCCCATGGCAACAGGGGAAACGGCGGCTCTCGTTGTTTCTGCTCACATATATGTGACTTTTTTGCAATG